GTCTTGTTTAAAGGGAATCGTCTCAGCTCTTTCTCGTCCCCTTAATTCTCACGACAGTTTGCAGTAGTTAAGTCTCTGCGCACTTATATCGCATCTACCTCCACTCCTCCAGAGCTCTCTGTCCTTCTTACCACAGTTTCCTTAGCATCTGGCACCTTGCAGGGGCTCAGTTTATATTTGCTCAAGGATTTTTCCATTTAATAGGGCAGATATGAGAGATGCCCATAGGCCAGCAGGTGACGTGGAGGTTATGGAACTCCACAGTTTGGATCCTAAACCTGGTGGCTTTGGGCATACCAGGTGTGTGTGCCCAGAATCTCGAGAATAGAGGAGAAGGGACTGCAGCATGGCCATCCCCTGAGAAACAGTTTCTCACTTTCCCTCTCTGTCTCTCTCTGGTGAGTACACATCCCATATAGTACAAAAAAAAAAAAATAAGAAGTTAGAAATATAGCTTAGCATATGGCAGATTCTAAAAGAAGAATAAGCACAGCCAGTTAATATTGGAAGGTACTGGGAGATCACCATGAAATGAATCAGGGAAGAAACTGGGCATGAGCTGAGTCTTAAAGAATGGATGGAATATGAAGGAAGGAAGGAGGAAGTGCAAAAGAAAGGGTGCTTCCCATGAAGTGTCCTGATTGACTTCCAGGTGCTCCCTGTCCACCAATGTCTCTTTTTCTTCTTTTTAAAATTCACTATAGGGTGTGTATACTCATCAGAGAGACTGAGCATGCAAGAGCGAGAACACGTGAGAAAGCATCCCTCAGGGAGAATGGCCACGCTGCAATCCCCTCTTCCATTCTCCTCTCAGGATTTTGGGCAAGCACGCACATATACATGGTGTGTCTTCCAAGCTGCTGGGTCGGGGACTCCAATCACACTGTCAGCCACGTGGGATCCAACCGCCTTAACCACCACGTCACCTGCTGGCCCTGCAATCGCTCTTCCTCTGCTAGTGCCCACTTGTCTCAAGTGGGCTGTCTTGCCCTTCCCACCACCCAATCATGTGACCTAACTCTGGCTAGGTTTGTTATGCCATGTCTGTGCTATTCTTCCTTGTCATTGTCATTGTGGCTCCACTGTCACTTTTAAAATGAGCACCCAATACATCAATGGCTATCATTACATCTGGCGCATGGTAAATGCTCAGTAAATATTTCTGAATGAACACATATACCTAGGACTCACTCTCCACACTCCAGGCTTGCTCCCTCCCACGCAGATCCTCAATCTGCTTAAGATCTGATGGCATGTGACACTGAGGGCTTATACCAAGTCCCTTGCATAATTATTAGTAAGTGGTTTTCTTTTTTTTTTTTCAGAGAGATTTTTGCTAGAGGACCTGTGTACTCACTGGAGAGACAGACAGAGACAGAGAGGCAGAAAGCGAGAAATCACCCCGAGGGGATGGCCACACCTTAATCCCTTCTCCTCCATTCTCCTCTTGGAATTTTGGGCACGCATGCCCACGTACCCATGTGAGTTTTAAGCTGCCAGATCCAGGACTCGAATTGCAGTTGATCACATGGGAGTCCAGTAAAATAACCACTATGCTATCTGCTGGTCCCAGTAAGTGGCTTTCTTAGATTTTCATTTAACAAAGCTTTATTGAATGCCTTCTTTGTTACAGGACATGTTGGCTACAGGGAGCTTGGAGTTCAGCTCTCTGAGACCCACTTCAACGAGTAAGGATAAATATCAAGTTAAGTGTCAATTTATATACGAAGTAGCCTGTGAACACTGTAGATGTGCTAGGGGCTTCTCAGAGTAGAGGACAGTGTTGGAAATGAATCTTGAAAGACAAGTCGTAGGGCCAACCTTGTAGCACAGCTGTTAAGGCAGTCAGACCCCACATGGCCAACTGTAGTTCAATCCTGCCCTGGCAGCTTGAAAGACATGCTGCGGGGATGGGGGGTGAGGTGTGCTCAAAATCTTGAGAAGAGGGAGGAATGGAGGAAAAAGGATTGTGGCATGACCACATCCCACTGGAAGGTGCTTTTCTTTCTCTCTGGTGAGTGTATGCTCCCTCTGGCAATCAATAAATAAAAAGAGAATCTGTGTCTTCTGGAAAGACAAGATTGGAGGGGGAGGAGTAGGTAAGAGAGTGGAGTAAAAATAGTATTTCAGGCAAATGACAGGTGCACGGGTGGGGGTGGGGAGGAGCTGAGCAAGTGTGTTGTGTTTGGGGCAAAGAGTAAGAGCAGAGGGTGGGCAGAGAGAAGCTCCAATGGATACCAATCTCATAGTGGCACCAAAAAAAAAAAACCCAAAACAAAATCCACACAACTAATTTATTTAGCTACTTCCAGTTTCTAAAAAAAGTTTGCTACACAGTATGTGCATTTGCCAGAGGCAAAGACAGAGAAAGAGAGAACTCATCCCAGGGACGATGGCCACTCCATAATCCCTTCTCCATTGTCCTGCTGGGATTTTTGGTGAACACATGTGCCCAGCATGTTTTTCAAGCTGTGGGGTCCAGGACAATAGAGTCCAGGGCAGTCATACTTAAGGGATTCAGCCACTTTAACCTCCAAGTCACCTACTGGCCCACTTACCTATAGGTCTTTACATAATTTTGAAAGCTAAATTGGTCCCAGGCCCTTGAGTGCCCTTAAATGTTAATTTAAAAATTCTCCTGACTGGGGACCAGCAGTTAGCGTAATGGCTATGTTGCTGGACTCCCATGTAGTCGACCGCGGTTCGAGTCCCGGACCCGGTGGCTTAAACTCACGCCGGGCGCGTGTGCGTGCGTGCCCAAGATCCCGAGAGGAGAATGGAGGAGAAGGGATTGCGGCGTGGCCATCCCCCCTGGGGGGTGATTTCCTGCTTTCTATCTCTCTGTCTCTCTCTGTCTGTCTGGCGAGCGCACGCGCCCTATAGCAAAAACCTCTCCAAAAAAAAAAAAAAAAAAAAAACCAAAAAAAAAAAATTCTCCTGACTGGCAATTCAATTATGTTATATTCAGTGCATGAAATAAATTCCTGATTTTTAGCATAAAGAGGTTTGTAATTCTTATTAATAGAAAATCAGTTTCCTTTTAGATCTCATGTGAAACAGATATTTATTACTAAATTTTAATTGCCAGAGGGCACTTTTTGCCAGAGAGAGAGAGAATCCCCCAATGGAGGATGGTCACACTCTAATCCCTTCTCTTCTATTTCCCCATCCTGTCAGGATTTTGGACATGAAGGCATATGTACCCAGTGTGTTTCTAAAGACATAGGGACCAGGGTTCAAATCACCATCAGCCATGTGGGTTCTGCATTCCTTAACTATCAGGTTATTGGGCCAGTGCTGAACAAATATTTCAAGCAAATTGACTATTTATGTTTTGCCAAATTAGTTTTCTGATGGTGCGAGTATCCCTCCAACAACCCTGGCTGGAAAGGGCACTGATCTATTTGGCTGTGAGAGCTGAAAATGTTGGTTTCTTGAGATGCACAAAAGAGACTACGTTCCATGAAATAGTGTCAACTAATTACATGTGCGGCACCCCAGGTAACCTCGCTGGTAGTCTTTGCTGGTAATTTGGGGGTAGGGGTGGGGAGCAGGAGTCTTAAAAAGTAAAACTGTCCTTTGCCTTAGGGCCATCATATTCTCCTAGATATTCCAAAACACCAGGAACTTCCATATCCTGTCCCGAGGTTTTGTGCACATCCTGTGTATGCT